TGACACCCGAACTGGCAGGAGTTCAGAAGTAATCATGCCCGACCTGACGGAGGCCTAGAAGTGAGTACGCGAGGTGGTTATAAAAGGATTCTACCCCCCCCCCAGGGAGGAGGTATGCTAACTCTCGCGCTATCTGGTTATTCTTGCCTCTAAAGGATTCTAACTTGAGCTTCGGAGCCCTTACGCCGGATTCTCCCCGGAGCTTCTCTTCTCCCATTTCAGGTTCCTGTTACTCACTCCAAAGGCAAGATCGTCAACAGCTAAGACCGGCCAGATTGTGCATCATCAGTGGGTAAAGTTGAAACTTTAAATTATGTATGATAATGCATTAACAATGATAAGGGTATTTTGGTAACTTTAATGTCTTTATTACCGAAGAGCATCAAGATACACAAAAAAATAATATAAATTTATCTAGAGAATAGGAAATTGGCCATTCTCACTAAAGTGCAACTTAGATTGTGATCAGATGAACTAGACTTAACCCCCAAAAAAATTAATATTTGAGTTGAACTTAAATAGACACCATTTAATTGGAAAATGTTATAAGGCTCCATCTTCAATTTTGTTGATAAATAAAGCCCACAGTCCTAACTAGTATTTCAATAAAATTTATATTTTCTCACATTTGTTTTGGGCGAAATGGTGGGACGGAAAATAACATTTGAAGATTAGGGATGAGACCCAAAGGGAAACAAAAATAGAAGCGAGCAAGAAAAAAAATACCGAAGGCGGCCGACTTCTTTCCAATCATGGTTTTAAAAGGCGTTTGAGGCGAGGCGAGGCAAGATTTCATCTAGCCTCAATAGGGCCACGTTCTGAGACAAGTGCACCCATAAATCACGTTCGACCACGTCGACCAGGTGAGAGAACGCATAACGTTCACGGTAAAAGGCCCATCAACACGAATTCGGCGGTTCAACCGGACACAAATCCCTAGTAGTTCTTCATTTCGAAGTTTGGTTTTGTCTTTTTTTTTTTAATCTCTACACAACACAATGACAATTTAAACAAAAAACCATTTTCATCCGATTTTCCGATTCTCCTTTTTCTATTTTTGGTGGAGTTGGAGAGGTAAGTAGTCGTACTTGATGGAGATACAGTGATCTGATTTCTATAGATGATCTCTCTCTCTCTCTTTAATGCTTGGGGTCGTTGTGTTGTTCTCTGGACAGATTATGCTTGTTGTAGCATATGACTATGAGGCATGGTAGCACCGTTGTATCTGCGAAAGCCGGAACGTATTATCGCTGTAGAAATCGTTGATCTTTTGCCGCGTGACGTCTCTTTCGCTTGCCCTTATAACGGTGGTAGCTATAGTAGGGCGGTCTTCTCGCTTTCCGTGCTGGAGTATTGCTGGTCAAACACATGGTCTGGTGTGTCCGAGATTGAAACAATAGTGATAGAGCCGTCTATCACCATGGCCTGCATAACTTTGCAACAATCGAACTGGTTTTGCTACAATGGAAAAATGTTGTAAATGATTATAAATCAAATTTACAAGAAAAAACGGAAATTATAAATCATTAAATCAGATATTTGTCTTCAAGAATCAAGACTATTAATAGAACGGGAAAATGCTTACTTTATTTACATATACACAGGAAGAAATAGCTTTCTTGAAGCAAGAAAATTGCAAGGGAAAGAACCCATGAGAGGTAGAGAGAAGTGCCGATGCAACAATTATCGGGTTGCTGTAACGCGAAACTACAAAAGAAACCTAACTAATTTCAGATGTGGCTTTCTTGTTTTACCGTTTTGAGCTTTGAAGATAATCTGTGGAGGCTCTTTTGATTTAACTTTTGTCATTTTGTTAATGGGCCTTTTACTATGAATATTATGCCTTCTCTCACCTGGTCGACGTGGTCGAACGTGATTGATGGGTGCACTCACCCGTGGATGCACGGAGGCGTGCACCCGCGAATGACACAGACAAAAGGCCCCATTTCTTCGATTTCTTTCTTCCATTTCTTTCCACCGACCCTACTCATACACCAAACCCTTCTTCGTCGGCGGCAATAGAATTCCGGCGGGTCATCGACGGCGACAGAGCTCCGGCGGAGACATTTTCTTCTTCTTCGCCTCTTCTCTTCTTCTCCTCCTCTCCATTCTTCTTCTTCGACAAATAGCTCCGGTGGTAGGGCCGGCGACCATTCTTCTTCTTCTTCGCCTTCTCCGGTGGTGGGTCCGATCTGAAAGACGAACAGGTATGACCGTTGCTTTCTCTTCCATATTATTTTCTTCTATGTATCCTTTTCTTCTAGGTTGCTCAAATATGCATTAGCCATTAGGTAAAACTGAACCCTAATTTAAACAGATCGGACATTTGAGTCAGACCTCAAACTGGATGCTTTTCAATTATTTGTCACATTAAATAACTAATTGGGGTTAGTGTAATCCTACCTCACTAACTGTATCATTAATTCCTTTCTGTATGTTTGAGAATTTGTAGGAATAGGATTTTTCTACCTGTCGTCATTGTGTATGGTTTATTTATCAATCTCACCAAAGACTAATAGACCTTAACATTCTTGATTTTCCTTAAATAAAAAATGCATAAATAAATAAGAGAATTTGTAGTCATAGGATTTATTTTTATGTCTCTATATGTATCTATTTGGCAAGGAAAATTCTGCCAATTTCACCACATGTTCTGCACTGGATTTTTCTGCTTTTGTCCACGTTGCTGCAATTTTTTTATATCCAAGGATGTTCTTACAACCTTATGCAAATTCCCCATTTTTTTTTTCTGCCAGCAAGAATATGCTACACTCAATAGTCCTTTAGATCTTCAACAATCCTTTCTTGAAAGGCTACATAACCCATCTTACCAACACTTTTAGCATCCCTTTGCAGTTTGTAGAAGTTCATTTGAGTCAGTCTTTGAATTTCACTTAAGCATGTGACATTTTAGACCTGTGTCATTGTGCCATTTTTGGTACATATGACTACACTTGTGGTGAACTGCTCACAAGTTATCATTGTTTAAATCATGCGACTTATGAAACATAAATTCTCCTTCATTGAATCAGTAGTGCTACTGATGTCATAGACTCGGCCTGTTGAGTCTCTGGCGCTCGGCCTCTTCGGATGGACTGCTATACCAAGTGAAACACAACAGTAGCTGGCTTCCCTAGCTCTACCAAGAAAAACCGAGCCTCTCTCTTTCAGCTTTGGCATTTTTTACTTTCTCCATTTCAAATTATAACCATATACCCTATGGATTTAACGTTTTAATACCTAAAATGTATCTCATTCTCTTGTATCCAGCAGGAACAGATTTGATTGCTATATTACTGATTTAGTGTTGGAACTAAATTGAATCATTTCTTTCTTTTCTTCTACTTTGAGAGTTGGTAGATTAATTGGTGTTGTAATTCATGGTTAATTTAACCCTTGTCAGTGTTCTAAATTATTTCCCTAGGATGAATGCCAATTAGATTTGGGTAGGATTACTTCTCTTGATGTAAACTGAATTATATGAAAGGTTTTTTTTAATGCATCCAACATCAATAAAATGTAAAATTAGAGTTGCAAATGGATCCAATCAGTTATATTCAAAGTTTCAAATTAGAATTTGGATCTTTTCCATAGAGTTTATGTCAGATTTGAATTGAATTCACATATAATTGGATATTGAACCGTATAAATAAATTAAACTAAAATTATCAAAATATTGTATAGTTTAATAGAATGAACTAGAGATGACTCTAAGCTGATTTACATGTCGGAAAAAGAAAACTGACTCTAATCAGATTTGAATTGAATTCAGATTTATTTTGATTCATTACTTGCTAGTTGATGAGATACTACTTGCTTTGTATTTGTCTTGGAGGCGATTACATATTGAAAAGATTTGAATAGTCAACAATTATTGGACCATTGATACATTAAATAAGTCACAAATAATTATGTAAAATTTCAATTATTTATTTCTTTTTATGTTTCCATAATTTATAAGTTTTAGCACCCAACCGCCTTGAGGCTTACGCCTCGCCTCTTTAGCACCCAACCGCCTCGCCTCCTCCGCCTTTAGCCATTTAAAACCTTGCTCCCAGCCGATCTTCAGACTCCCAACGATTGGATCCCCGATCAGCATCTTCTTCACCTTCGGAGAAGGTAAGACCACAAATATGCCTCGTTTTACTTCTTTGGTCCATTCTTTGTATTTTTTCTCTCTGAAACCTCATCATTCTTCTTCCCCTCCCTGCTTTCTTCGCCATCACCGGTCGGCATCCTAACCATATCCCATGTCCTCTCCAGAAACTGTAAAGCTAAAAATAGACCCTTCAGCTCTTAGGGATGTCTTCCGTTGAGCATTCTTTGAATGATAAGGGTCATGCACACCTTCTGGCAATGAATGTCCCCAAAATGACTTGCTGCCATTTATTCCGGCAACCAAATGACGTTGGATCTGCTAAACCTCTGTGACTATTGTTGCAGACCTAACAATCTTTATAATTTTTTTTTCATGATATATTGGACCTAACTATTCATCTTACTTGTTTTCTTTTTTGTTTATTGTTGTGATTATTTTTTTATGATATATTGGATCTAACAAGTCTTTGTTTTTCTTCATAAGATATTGTTTTTTTTATGAATTTTTTCTTCATAAGATATTATTCCTAACAATTTTAGTTTCTTGTCCAGAACTGCCAAATCGAAATAGGTATTGGAAAACTTTCTTGGAACCAACACAACTCTCAGGTACGACATATGCATTTGTTTTTTCCCCATTCTTCTGTTATTTGGTAAAAAAAATCAGATTACTGAGAACTATTTGCTCTATTCAATATGTTAGTATAACAACTTGATTTTAATGGTGGTTTTGTTTTGATGCTTTTTTTTTTGCCTTCTGATCTAGCCTACTATTGTTTTTTCTTGGATCATCTTCAAGGCATTTCATGTGTAACAAGGTTTCTCTTTCCCTCTTTATCTTCCATTGTCTTTCTCTTTCCCACACAATTTATGTTTATTCTGGCTATATTAGGTGTTATATGAATAAACTTTATCTTTACTTCATGAAATTTCTCAACGAGAACTTATATTTCTTCTCGGTGCAACCAATGGTTGTTCTCTTTATCCCATTTCCTGTGCACAGGTGTGTGTAAAAGAATGGTCTGTTATTTTTTTTTTTCTTTTATTCTTCCCTATGTAGTTTTAGTCTAACTTCAAACTAATTACAACTATCAGCCACGGATGCTAGCTTGTGGCAAAAAAAACATGAATATAAGGTGTTAGCACCCAATTTTTGCTCGGTCCACCATCCGAACCACCAATTCACCCCAAACACCCAATCAGACCCTTCCGATCCCTCCAAAACACCCAAAAACCCTGACTTTCACCCCCGATCACTCAAATCCACCATCAAACCTGCACGATACCTATCCGATGGCTCCGATCAACCCACAATTACACCTCAATCATCAGATCAGACACAACCATCAGTTCTCAGACACTCCCAAATACGCACCTGTGAAATCTCAACCCAAAATACCTCCATTGGCCCTTTAATCGCACCAAGATTCCATTTCAAGGTCCCAGATTAACCGAATCAAGCCCTTTCCAAAATAGCCTGATCTGGGCCCAGTTGGGCCAATTTGACCCCACTAATCAACTCAGAATCCACGAAAACTCTACCTTACCAAATTTTAGCAAAAAATACCCATATTTACCCTTCCATCTAAAAAGATTCCATTTCGGTCAATCTCGTTAGCCCATAGACACAAAACCCCCTATGTAGTCATACCCATCTCAACCCTCCATTTTCTGACCCAGAAATCCCCACCATTGAACCAGAAACCCGGCCTAACCCCCTTAAACCCAGTTTGACCCTCTTAGACCCAATTTGCCATTCCTCAAAATTACCAAATTACCCCTGGCCAAGTTCCCAAATTACCCACTGCACCAAATTCCCAAAATACCCTTTTCTCCCAAATTACCCCTCACCTTCCAAAATTACCAAAATTACCTGAATTGCCCCTTTGATTGATTCCCAAACTACCCCTTTGTCCAATTCCCAAATTACCCCTGATATAAATCCTAAAAATGTCCCTCCTTTGAAAATTTCCCTAAATTCTCTTGACCAAAGTTAACCCAAATTACCCCCGGCCTAATTCCCAAATTACCCCAATCAAGATTTCCAAAATTCCCAAAATACCCGCGACCAAAATTACCTGAAATACCCCTTGAACAATTCCCAAATTACCCTTAAGTCCCTGACCTAAATCCCAAAAAATGTCCCTCCTAAAATTATCAAGATACCCTTGACCATAAGACCTCTTTAACCAATAACCAAAATACCCTTGACCTAATTCCCAAAATACCCCTCCTTTCAAAATTACCTAAAACACCCCTAACCCAAATATGACCCTAAATACACCCTTGCAAACCCTAAATTTTGGCAGAAACCACCCTTTCCTTTCCTTTTAAATAGGGAGCATCATTCCCAAGAAGAGGGGGTTGAGAGGTGAAGCTCGAGAAAGGGGTCTCTTTGAATAGATATCAGASAGGTCTTATTCTCTGGCGGTGAGAACAGAAAGTTTCGAGAAAAGAGAGGAGAAAAGAGGGAAAGGGGTGGTTAAGAGAAGGATCTCGAGAGAGAAAAGAGAGGGACCTCCGAGAGAGTTAGAGGATAGAGAGCATCTGAAATATAGACTGAGGGGGATTAGAGCAAAGAGCGAGAGCTAAGAGCTTTGAGAGAAAGAAAGAGGGAAGGCTGAGTTTTGAAAGAAAAAATAGAGTACTTGCACAAGAGGGTTTGAGAGGAAGTTTGGTTGAGAGTGAGAAAAATGGAGAGAGATGGGAGAAAGATCTGAGAGAGGATAGAGAGAAGGAAACGAACAAGGATTTTGCGAAGAGCGCAATAGGTAAAGAAGGGTTTGAATAAGAAGGGAATACAACTCGAAGGGTCAGCCCCCGATCTCTCCTTCTCTTTCTCRTCCAACATCAGGAGGGCGTCCTGGTAACATTTAGCGGCCTAAGAACCCTAGTTCCCTATTATCTTCATCTCATCTTGCATCTATGGTTTAGACTCCACCATATTCTGGTTCGAAATTCGACTGAAGCATCTACATCCGAAAGCCTTTTTAACAAAAAATTGGAACCATATTCAGAACCCMTATTGCAGCATCATCGACCCGATTCATAGACCACAAGAGGTAAAATTTGTTACCTCATCTTCTTTCCCCTGTTCGAAGTASTTCATCTTTTTTATCTATTTTATTCATTTGCTTATTTATTTCCTGTATTGTCGACTTGCTTGCTTCTATGGTAGTATTGTTGGTTCAGTTCTGCAATCGGGGTGTTCTCCTGTAACCGAGAGGCTAGCATGCTTCTCCACTCTTTAGACCAGTTCAACTGCATCCAAAAGGGGACTGGTCTGCAAGAGAAGAGATAACATGCTCCTTTGAGTTGCTAGAGAACCTGATTTTGATAACTGGTAAGCCATGATGGGAAATATAGTATTCACATTGACCAGAGGGTGCCTAACCCCTTCCCTCTCTCTTTCTCAACTTACCCAGAGCGGCCTTGTCCTAGCTGATCGGTATGGAGTCGTTGGTTTTAAATGGTTTCGTAAAATTTAAATCCGGGATACCCATCATTCCCCATTATTAATTCCTGATGGCTGGTGACTCCATAGCATCGACCATGAAGTGAACTACCGGTTTTTCCCAACGTTCACACAAGGTGAGGAGAAGAAATGGGAGATTTCTTTTTCAACTTCAAACTGCATAAATTTCATAAATTAATCCATCAATTTATGCCACATGGAGGGATATTGTGGCTGATTCAGACAATTCATCARATGGGGGACCCCACTGAATTTGCCAATTGCCAGTTGTTCAATCCCTTACGGTCCATATCAGCCATATAGCCTACTTTGTATTGGTAGTTTTAACAATTAATAATTGCTATTAAAACTTTAAAAGTTCTTATTTTTAACATAAAACTTAGCCATAAAGAGTTGGCTTGTTTTATACATGTAAAAAAGTGTTTTTTGGCTTTTTTTTCACTATATACAAAGAGTGAGGAGAGAAACTCATGCAATCCTTTCGAATTCCTAATTAATTTGCCACATATAAGATTTATTGTGGCAGAGGAAGTTTGGAAGCTCCTTTTTCGGAAGAGGAAGTTTGGCAGGTGATAAAGAATTTAGATTCAGAAAAGTCCCTGGGTCCGGATGGGCTTACCAATTTATTTTACAAAAGCTGTTGGGATGTGGTGAAAACAGAAGTGATGCAGGTTTTCTAGGAATTCCATAGAAATGCCTCATTGAAAAGAATCTTAAATTCTACATTCATATCTTTGATCCCAAAAATTGAAGGAGCCACAAATTTGAAGGATTTCAGACCTATTAGCCTCCTGAATAGCTTCTATACGATTCTGGCCAGGGTTTTGACAGAGAGGTTGAAAAAGGTGCTGCCRAGTGTGATCTCTCAAAATCAGTTTGCGTTTGTCCCTGGTCATCAAATGATGGATAGTGTCTTGGTAGCTAATGAATTAATTGATTCAAGGTTAAGGGAAGGAAATTCGAGTCTACTTTRCAAACTTGACCTCGAAAAGGCCTATGATAATGTCAATTGGAGATGTTTGGACTGTGTTGAAAAAATGAAGTTTGGGCAGACTTGGAGAAACTGGATTAAAGTCGTGTCACCTCTCCTAAGGGGCTCAAGCAGGGAGACCCTCTCTCCCCTCTTTTGTTCATATGTGTGATGAAAATACTTACAATCTTCATCCAAAAAATAGGGGAGGGGGTGGAAGGGCTTTGAGGTGGTGCCTGGAGGGGAGAAGGTTCAGGTTCTTTAATTCGTAGATGACACCTTTATGGAAGCCAATGAAGAACACTATGACCTCTTAGTGGGAGTTCTAAGCTGGTTCAAAGTGGCGACAGGTCTGAAAGTCAATTGAAGTAAAAGTTGTTTGATCCCAGTGGGAAAAGTGGAAAATGTAGAGGACTTGGCAAAGAGTTTAGCGTGTCAGGTGGGATTCCTCCCAACAAAATATCTGGGACTCCCCCTAGGAGCAAAATGCACTTCAGCACTGATCTGGGAACCAGTCTTAGAGTGGCTAGAAAAGAAATTGGCATCTTGGAAGACTAAATACTTGTCCTTGGGGAGCAGAATTACTTTGTTAAAAAGCTCCTTATCCAACTTGCCAGCATTCTATCTCTCTTTATTTCCAATCCCAAGTAAAGTGGCCAAAAGAATTGAGAGGCTGCAAAGGGACTTTTTATGTAAAGGATGGGAGGAGGATAGGAAGAAAATCCACTTGGTGAGTTGGTGCTCTCTGAAAAGTAAAGGAGGTTTTGAATACAAGGCGAATGAGGACCTTTAATAAGGCTCTTCTTGGGAAATGGATCTGGAGGTTTGGGTTAGAAAGAAACCCTTGGTGGAGGAAGTTTTTTTTTATGGAAATTGGTGGAGGAAGTTAATGGCAACAAAATACAACACACATAGAGGAGATTGGATCACCACTTCTTCTCCCCCATCCCTAGGCTGTTCGGTATGGAGGAAAATAATGGACATTCTACCCATTTTCAGTAGAGGCTTAAGCCCCATCCTTGGGAAGGGTGACAGGTTGTCCTTCTGGAAAGATCCCTGGTGTGGAAATACTACTCTTTCAGAGATATTCCCACATCTATTCCAGTTAGCAGACCATCAAGATGCAGTGGTTGCTGATTGCTTTGAGGTGGTGGGGAACTCAGTAGCCTGGTGCCCTTCTTTCAGAAGAAATTTTCAGGATTGGGAAATTCCTGTCCTGGCTGATCTACTCGAATTGCTCTCCCTTCAACCCCTAAATCTGCTCAAAGAAGACAGCTGGTCCTGGACTTGGAGTACAAATGCCCTCTTTTCAATCAAATCATTTGCCACTCACATGACAATGAGTACTTCTGAAGATATGCCTGCTTCCAGAATCTGGAATCCAACCTCTCCCTCAAAAATCAATGCTCTAGTGTGGGCTGCAGTTCTAGACAGGTGTTTAACTAAAGCCCACCTATGTAAGAGAGGGGTTCATATCCAGAACCAGAGGTGTGTGTTATGTGGTCAAGCCGTCAAGGAGTGGAAGATAGCAGTCATCTGTTTCTGCACTGCTCAATTTCAGCTAGAATGTGGAATAATTTCCTTTGTTCGGTGGGTCCTGCCTGGTCAATGCCAGTTTCGGTGAAGGAGATGTTGTGGAGCTGGGGATTACAGGGTTTGTCAAAGCTTGCTTCAGTTGTGTGGATGTCCATGCCGGCTGCAGTCATCAGCACCATTTGGGCAGAAAGGAACAAAAGACTTTTTCTGAATTTCTACAAGGATGCGGAAGACCTGATATCCGTTTATGTTGGAAAGCTGATTTCTTGAGTCTCAGCTTTGAAGAGAATCCTGGCTGCTGAGTTGGGGGCTAGGCTGAATTCTAGGAGCCTATGGCATCCGTAATTTTGTTATGTTTGGGCTGTTTCCCCATCTAAGGTGTTTAGTTGGGGGGCCGTTGTACTAGTTTTTTGTATCAATAAAATTTACATTACCTTTTCTCAAAAAAAAAAAAAGATTTATTGGATCATCACTAAAACCCTGCTATACATGTACAAAATGATCATAACAATTGCACATCTAATAGGAAACCCTCTTTTTTCGAAGCCTGGAAACCCTCTTTATTGGCGACAAATTCAATGCCCACCCTTATATACCCTATCTTATATTGGGTTTTTCCACAATGATAATGATCAAATGTTTTTTTTTTTGATAGATATGATAATGATCAAATGYTCTGAAATATGTAGAGGTAGGAGAGGTTTCTTAGCATTATAAATGTTTTGAAATATGGGAATGATGTTCCCAATTCACGTGTGGAATTCAGAAAGTGATGATGCAATTGGGGTTGGTGGTTGAGGTTTAGGCCCAAGCCGAACTGTATTTAGAGGGACCGACCTACCTTAGCCTCCAGCTCAAAGTTACTCAATCCCAGCCCAACTTAACGTTATTCTCTCCAATTTCAATTTGCTTCATCTTCAAGTGCAAATGTACAGTCATGTAGAACAATGGCTTCTCATATAAAACCTATGGACATCCCATAGCCACCAAGCCATGACATACAACTCTTGGCACAGAAATGCATTCAAACCAATATTATTTAAAACTAGACCCTAGGCTACCTAGCTTWCTATAACAGCTTATGATTTGATCAGTAAATATGATAGAGCACCTGCTGAATAGGGGTTTGATCAGTAAAACTATCTAGGATTTAATTTTAATTTACATGCTGAATAGACATTACATTTAAGCAGTTTTCTGTTCTTATAATCGATGCATATCAGCCTATTGATTTCACCATTTTCATGAGTASTGTGTGGGACTGATGCATGAGGTTTAAAAGTATATGGTTTTTGATAATTGAAAGTGGACTAATGCTGAAACATTAGGTGACTTTGAGTGATATACCTAAAAATGTTGTTTTCTTTTTACTAATGCTGGTCCACTTTCACCAAATTCTTTAATGTGTATAATATTTTTAAACTTATTTATTTTTCTCATCATTTGCCAAAGGCATGGTAATTTTTTTTTTTATTAATAACTCTGAAAATTTTCATTAATTAAGATGCTTTAATATACAACAAGAAGTTACAAAGAAATCARCATAGAAGCTGACCCAAGACAGAATTACAAATGTGCCCAAAACATATATGTTCTTTGAACCCCTTGCTTTGCTAAGCTATCAGCCAAGCTGTTGGCCGATCTCCTAACCCACCCCACCTGAATAGACATATTTCTTGACATCCATTTGAACCTTCTAAAATCATTCTTTAGCTGCCAGGTCACTCCTTCCCCTTTTTGCAACCATTTTATCACAGTTTTTGAGTCTCCCTCGATGATCAGTCTATTAATCTCCAGCTCTTTGGCATTCTCAACCCCATATATTGCAGCTAGAAACTCTGCCCTAGCTACATCACCCTCCGCCCCAAGACCAGAGAACAAAGGAATAATGGAACCATTTTCATTTCTAATGCCCCCCCGCCCAATACCTGAAGGGCCTGGGTTACCCACACAATTCCCATCAAAATTCAGCTTCATCCAACACTCTGTTGGAGGGGACCAGGTTTCACAAACCTGTCGCCTCATAGTTGATGAAGCAGCAATAGGTCCCCAAACCCTGAACAAGTCTTCAACTTTAAAATTTGAGAATTGCTTTAAACTTTTTACCCAATGTGCCACCCTCAATGTTATTGTTTCCACAAGAGCTTCCTTGCATTTTTTCCTTACTTTCAAATATTCTATCATTTCTTTCCTTCCAAATGGTCCAACGTATTGCTGCTCTAGTGCATCTCCTAAGAATCCTTCCCCTCCTTGTCTTACCACTGCAACCATTAGGGTGAATAAACCTTCCAACCGGTCAGGAGAAGACCACCTGCACCCAAAAAGGGAAGTAAACCAATTCCAAATAAAGTTGACAAAGGGGCATGATAAAAAAAGGTGGATAGCAGTCTCACCATTCAACATACACAGGACACACCAGATAAGGGACAAGCACCCATTTGGCCTTTTCCTTTGAAGTACATCAAAACTATTAATACAACCATGAAAGACTTCCCAACAAAAAGCACTGATTTTAGGGGGGAATAGGATGGCACCAAATTTCTTTGACTGTAAACTGAAGAGAAGACTGCGTGGCAACCATCGAATGAAAGAAGGATTTTCAAGAAAAAGACCCATCAAAATTAGGACCCCAAATTCTAGAATTTGACCCACCTTCCCCCAAGAAAACTGAATTCAGCAAACCTAACAACTCAGAGACTGCAAGCAGTTTAGACTCTCTAAGATTCCCTATTAAAACCAAGGTTCCAATTCAATCCTGGAAAGTGAGAATGATGGTTTAGGAAATCAGAAATAGACTTTCCCTTGATCCTAGACAGATCATAAAGATAAGGAAATTTCTCTCCTAAAGGAGTATCCCCAATCCACAAATCCTCCCAGAATATGATTTTACTACCAGAATACAAATCATACCTGATAAGATTAAGGAACATAGGGAGGACATCATGAATGGCCATCCAGGGAGCAGCCAAGTTAGCCTACGTAGACAGCCAACATCCAATCCGTTGGATGACATGCCATGAATGCTTGCAACCACTTTGTGCCATAATTTCTCATTTTCATTTGGAAGCCTCCAAAGCCATTTGCCCAGTAAAGCCTGATTCTTCATTCTAACATTACCAATTCCCAAACCCCTTCCTCTTTTAATTTACTCTCCTCCCATCTAACCAAATGATCCTTCTTTTTTTCCCTGGCTCCCATAGAAAATCCCTCATGATTTTTTCAACTTTCCTCACTATCCTTTGTGGCATCCTAAACATTGACACACTGGGAGATTTGCTAAAGTGGATTTAATTAGGGTTATTCCCCCCCCCCCTAATGAAATACAATTTCTTTTCCACGTTGCTAATCGTTTATCTATCCTTTCCACCACCGGAGACCAAAAACTAGCAGATCTAGGATTATTTCCAAGGGGTAAACCCAAGTATTTCATTGGACACTCCCCTTTCTCACAACCTAGAGAACTTGCCAGAAATCTCACTTCATCTTCTTCAATGTTGACTCAAACCCTTAAGCTCTTTGACCAATTAATCATCAAATTAGACATCTTCGCAAAGAGGTTCACAACCACCCTCAAATTTTCCACTCCCTCCCTACTTCCTCTATCATAGAAAATAACATATTCAAAAAAGAAATTGGCTTGAAAGACCACAACTCTCTTAATTTATTCACACACTAGGCATTACTTTTTTTTACGCATGTTTGCTTTAATAGATGGACAGAGAATTGTTGTATGCAGTGGTTGGAGCTGCAACCACTGTAGCTGCATTGACATTGACCATTTTGCAAGCATAGATGGACTATGTGGATAGAAAACCTTTTGTCACTCAGGATCTAGAGAAACAAGATTTGTTGGATCAACTATATATGGGGAAGATTGGTTGATTGTTACTACCAGTTGAGAATGGGGAAGGAGGATTCTATAGACTTTGCAAAATTCTACGTGAGACTGAACAAGTCAAGGACACATTAAGGAGTTCTGTGGATGAACAAGTTGCTAGATTCCTGCACATTTTGGCACACAATGGGAAGATTGGTTGATTGTTACAACCAGTTGAGAATGGGGAAGGAGGCAATCTATAGGCTTTGCAAAATTCTACGTGAGACTAGACTACCCATTGATAAGTTAAGGAGGACAGGTGCTCAATACCATCATTTCAAATAATCAAGGAGTTTTGTGAGGGGCAGACAAATCATTGATCAAATTCTCATAGCGAATGAGAGTGTGGAGGACTTCAAGAGATCTAAGAAGAAAGGGGTGGTCTGTAAACTAGACTTGGAAAAAGCTTATGACTTGGTAGACTAGTCCTTTTTGTTAGAGGTGATGACTAATTTTGGGTTCGGAGATAGATGGTGCAGATGGGTGTTGGGGTGTATTCGGTCTTGCCACTACTCTATTTTGGTGAACAGAACAGTGGTAGATTTCTTCCTAGCATTGAGGGGAATAAGACAAGAAGACCCCCTTTCTCCTTTTTTGTTCACCTTGGTTGCTGAAGTATTAGGGAGTTTAATCTCTAAGGCAGAATCTACAGGGCTATTTAAGGGATGGAGAGTTGGCAGGGAAAGTATATCATTTACACATTTGCAGTTTGCAGATGATACGGTTTTGTTTTGTGAGGGGGGGACATGAATTGGATTAGGAGTGTGAAACTTACAGTACAACTATTTGAGCAAATGTCCAATCTGAAAGTTAATTTTGATAAAAGTTGTGTTGTAGGTGTGACTATGGGGGAAAGTGAGATCCTTGAATGTGCAAATGTTTTGCGGTGTGGAGTATCGAATTGGCCTTTGATTTACCTTGGTCTTCCTCTAGGAGATAATCCTCAAAAAGGAAGTTTTTGGACTCCTGTACTGGAGAGGTTTTAAAAGAGACTTGCTTCTTGGAAGAAAAACTACCTATCTCTTGGGGGAAGAATTACCTTAAGCTGGTTTACCCTACCTAATCTGCCCATCTATTACCTTTCAGTCTTTAAGGTGCCTACAGGGGTGGCTAGCAAGTTGGAAAATTAATGAGGGAATTCTTGTGGGAGCCAAGAGAGGAGAAAAAGGATCATAGGGTTAGATGGGAGATGGTGTGTAGGAAAAAGCAGGATGGAGGGCTAGGCATTGGGAATATAAGGAAGAGGAATTTGGCTTTGTTAGAGAAATGGTTGTGGAGATTTTCTTTGGAGAGGGAGAAACTGTGGACTAAGATAATTTGTAGTATTCACGGGCTTGCAGAGAATGGTTGGGACTCTGGGATTCTGGCTGTGGCTACAAGAGCATCACCATGGAAATCCATCCAAGATATTTTGCCTCTCTTCTCTCCTTAGATCAGGTATGATTTGCACTCGAGTAATCTCATAAAGTTCTGGGAACATGTTTGGGTTGGGAAGACCCCTTTGAAAGAACAATTTCCGGCTATATTTGCAATCTCCACCCTMAAAAATGAACCAATTACCAATTTCCTCGTTTCCTCAAACTCAAATTCCGGGTTTGGTTGGAACTTGGGTTTGAGAAGAGCATTCAAGGACACAAAACTGGATAATGTTTCTTCTCTTGTGTCCATTCTTGATGGGATTTTCTTGGAACCCACAAAGATAGATAGTAGGATCTAGTCTTTGTCTCCCTCTGGATCCTTTACTTGTGCATCCTTCTTTAAAGCCTGATACAACCAGAAATTCCTATTGGACTGTCATTCCTTGTCAAGGAAATGTAGTGTACACCTATACCTCCGAGGGTTGGGAGCTTTTGTTGGGAAGTTTTCCTTGAAAGAATCAACACAGGTGACCTACTTCAAAGAAAAAGACCCAATAGTTGTTTATCTCCACACTGTTGTGTTTTATGCAAAGCTACTGGTGAGTCTGGGTACCACTTAAGAATATCTTGTGTTTTGGCAAAAAATATTTGGGATTGGTTTGCTTCTTTATTTGGGTGCAGGTGGACATCTCCAACTAGTCTGCAAAGCTTGTTTTTCTCTTCACCTATTGAATGCTCAACGAAAAGATCAAGAATTATGTGGAGATGCGTRAGAGCTGCTGTTTGTTAGACATTATGGGAGGAAAGAAATGCAAGGATCTTCTTGGAAAAGGAAAGAGRCTTGGAAAATATGGTAGAATTGATTCTTATAAGAGTAATACACTGGCTGAAGACAATGAAGGAGTTTACAAAGTTYTCAACAAACAATTTGCTAAGAAATTGGAAAGAAGT